TATTAAAATATATCACACAAAACAACTTTTGTTTCAGTTGCATATATTTATACATATGTATAAAGGTAAGTCAAAGTATTGCTACAAAAGAATAGAAACCTTTTTAAAACAAAAATATCAAACTGTAAAGCTGTTGTTTCTTGACATCTTTCATCTAAGTCTATATAATTGTGAAGGTGACGTTTCCATCTCTTTAACCTGTTCCCAAATAATTCTACGTTCTTCAATATGCATGTCAAAACAACAGTGTTGGCATACTTGAGGAACTCAAATTGTGTTCCTTTTCAATGTTCTTTGTATTTTGGAAACAAAAACAAGTCTGAAGGGGCAAGAGCAGGGCTATAGGGTAGATGGGGTTAAGGGTTACCAATGAAATTCTCTTAGGACATCCCTAACTACCTTGAAGAATGAGTATGTGCATTGCTGTGAAGGCCTTGGCACAACTTGCCGGGCCTTTTTCTCACCAATGCAGTTTCAATTTTCTTAAAAGTATATAAGCTTCCATGATAATCCTTCAAGAAAATCTAGAACGTCTATTAAGATTACTCCTTGGGAATCCCAAAAAACAGTCACCATAACTTCTGAGCTGACTTTTTCCCCTTGAACTGGCCCAGCAGATCTCCTTGGAAGCCACTGGTTTGATTAGATCTTTTTTTGAAGGCACTCTAATAAGACTAACACAAATGCATTACTGAGAGAACCTGTATGCAGCCATCCTCTGATTGCAGAGGCATATTTAAACATGTTTTGTTTGCAATAAACTTATACATATATGAACCATAACCCTAGTAGCAATACTTTTTGGTTTTCCTTTATATGTGTGTGCACATACATCCATATATATTCCTACACTGGTCAGTGCTAAGTGTTTTTCTTACTATGGCAAGATTAAAACCATTTGAAAGCCACTACAGCTGACGGCCAGTTTGAAAGTCTTAGGACATGAAAGAGCTTCGTGAGTCTTATGAAGTAAAAGACAACCATATCTAAAGTCACTTTGTAAACTATCACTAAGGGGCTGGCAGTTACACTAAACTGACTCTGAAAGTAACTTCTAAAATAATATATTTTATAGTAAAAATACATCATTTAAAAAGTCATATTCATAAAACCCTGGGGGAGGCCTCTGAGTCCCTTCAGATCTTCCTTAAAAAGGAGCTTCAAAAAGTTCATGGAAAAATGAAATTAAAGGCTAACGAATTTTTTCTATGAACTTTTTGAAGTGCCCTCATATGATGGAAAAAATGTTAATTTTTAACATTTTGACTATAAATAGAAAGGAGTCCTGGTATGGCACTGTAGGCTACACACTGGATCACAAGGTCGCCTTGAATCACAAAGTCAGTGGTTCAAACTCACCAGCCACTCCTCAGAAACCCAATACAAGGTCTCTATAAGTTAGAACCGACTTGACAGCACTTAACAAGAAATAAATAGAAAATGTGACAAAGAGAGCACTTTAATCAAAATATAGAAAAAAAATCAAGAGATCGGGATTGTACACATGATTCTTTCATTAGCCATCTGCGGATATATTTAACCTCTCTGCACCCTCCGATTCTTTATGTGTAAAAAGAGCAGGTAGCCTAGGCATTCAGTAAGGTTCCTTCATACTGCAAATTCCACGATTTTAAGTAATTTTAGAGTCTATGATTATTTTAAATTTGTGAAAATTAGCCTGATATCTTACCAGAATGAAAATAGTCAGTTATAAGGTATCTAATAAAATAGCTTTAACTTTATTGTCAATGGTATCATGCTTGAACAGGTAGAATAAAAAGTAAAAGTTTTTTCTGGAGGTTTATGTTGTATTTGGAGTCCTGGTTTGGTGCTGTAGCATCAGCACTGGACTGCTAACCATAAAGTTGGCAGTTCAAACCCACCAGCTGCTCCTTTGAAACCCTGTATCGGGTTGCTATAAGTCAGAACTGTTTCGAAGGCACGTTAACAATATGTTGTACTTGGACTGATCTGTATTTTTGTATTTTATATCATGGTATCAGTATGTTGATATTATAGGTGGAATTGTGTCCCCTCTCCCTCCAAAAAAATATGTATTGTAATTTCTAACCTAAATATTTGTGGCTATAATCACATTTGGGAATGGGTTGCCTTGTTATGGGAAGAGGCAGGATTAGTGTAGGGTGGGCCTTGAGATATAAAAGATAATAAATAAGCAAAAGAAACAGAGATGGGAGAGATGAAACTGCCCAGGAGTAGAAGTTCAGCGTCAAGGACGCAGCTGACACAAAGAGAAAGCCTTCTCCCACAGCTAGCACCCTTAGTTTGGACTTCTAACCTCCTAAACTGTGAGAAAATAAATTTGCTTGCTAAAGCCACCCATTTATGGTATTTCTATCATAGAAGCAGTTGATAAAAAAGAATTTGGTAGTAGGAGTAGTACATTAGAATGCTGCTGTACCAAATATTCACAATGTAGAAGTAGTTTTGGAATTGGGTAATGGGTGAAGGTTAGAAGAGGTGTAACATGCTTAAAAGTAAAAGTCTAGATTACCTAGATAGAATTATGGACATTCAAGGTCCTGGTGTGGCGTTGTCGTATAAAGCACTGAATCACAACGTCAATTTGAATCACAAGGTCGGTGGTTCAAACTCACCAGTTGCTCCTTGGAATCCCTATACAGAGCCACTCTGAGTCAGAACTGACTTGATGGCACTTAACAACAAGGCAATTCTGCTGAGCGCTCAGAAGAGAGTGAGGAGAGCTAAGAGAAAGTTTCTACTGTCTTAGAGAATACATATGTGCCAACAACAAAATGTTGCTAGAACTGTGATGTTAAATGTGCTTTTAGTGAGGCTTTAAAAGACAATGAACATGTGATTGCCAATGGAGGAAGGGTGATGCTTTTTATGCAGTGACAAAGGATTTGTCTGGATTATGTTCAAATGTTTGGTAGAAGGTAACACTTCTAAGTGCTGAATTTGGATATCTGGCTGAGGAGATTTCTAAGCTAGCTCTTAAAGGTGTTGGTTGCATGGTTTCTCTGCCACTTATAGTAAAATGTGAGAGGACAGAGATGGACTTAAAAGTGAACCATGCAAAATGAAAACAAAAGTTAAAGATCTGAACAATTCAACTGTATAAACTAAGGACACGTGTCTTAGAATTTTCACTTAGGACATGGCTACATAATCTTTTGCTAGAGAGATTAAGTCTATGACTGATGGCTCTATCCAACTATCATAACAGAAACTTAATCAGTTTAGACTAAGGGGGACAGAGAAAGAATGAAAGGAAAGAGCACTGTCTACCTCTTGGAATTCTCTGGGCAGGAAATAGGCCAAAGGAACTATATCTGTTGTCCCTCAAGAAAAAGACCAGTCGTGGAGCTGACTGGACAGCAGAACTGTTGGAAGGAGCACAAGAAGCAGGACTCATTGGTTTCAAAGGGTGGAGTCATGGTCTCCTGATATCAAAAGTGGGGCCATAGTCTCCTAGGTTTCAAAGAGTTGAATCTTCACTAACTTGGTCCAGAGTGGGGTTACTGTTCACACAAGGGGTATGAGGCCACTGCCCAAAGCTGAAAGGACAGGGTTGCCATATCCAAGGTACAGAACAAGAGCCTACTAGGAGCCAAAGGGGTGGAGATAACCATTCAAACAGAATAGAGGAATGCTCACAAAAATCCAACAGAGCAGAGTTGCTGTCCTAATGGGCCTGGAAGGTAGAACTGAAGCCTGAAGCTAAGTGGCCTTCACCCAGAATCCAGAAAGCATGGCCAACATCCAGATTCTGTTGCCCAGATGGTCTCAGAGAATAAAGAATTGTTTTCAAGTTGTGAGACTAACGTAAACTGTTCTGCTGGATTTGGGACTTGCTTGGTACCCATTATTCCTTCTTTCCCTCCCATTTCTCCATCTGAAAATGCCTACCTTGTATCTGTTCCACCCGTACACGCCGGAATCAGAGAATTTATCGTCCAGATTTCACAGGTTTACAGATGAAGAGGATTTTTGTCTCCAAAGGAATAGTCTAATGCCTCACCATTTGATTTGGGTGATTCAGAAGATGAGATTTTGGAGTCAATTTAAAACTTTGGGGATGATGTGATAGGATAAATGTATTTTACATGTGGGAAAGACAAGAATCGTAGAGAGCCAAAGGGTGAATATTAAGGATTGAATTTTGTCCCCTCAAAATATGTGTTCTAATTCCTAACCTCTCTGTCTGTGATTATAATTCCAGTTGGAAACGGATTGTGGGTGTGTAATACGGCAGGATCGGAGTCCTGGTGTGGTGCTGTAGGATAAAGTATGGACTGTAATGTAAGGTTGGTTTGAACCACAAGCTCAGGGGTTCCAACCCACCAGCAGCTCCATGGGAATCCCATATAGGGTCCCTATGAGACGGAACCTACTGATGGCATTTAACACCAGTGAGGCCTGATTAGTATAGGGTGTGCTTTGAGTCAATCTCTTTTGATATATAAAAGATATTAAACCAGCCTGGGAGAGAGCAGAAATGGAGAGGCACAAGTCCGTGGAAAATGGCCTAGGAGCAGCTGCGCAGACACTGGGTCCTTCCTCCAGAGCCAACGGAGAGCGCCCTCCCCTGGCGCCTGCGCCCTGGATTCCAACCTGCAACCCCTCCTGGTGGGGCTGTCGGCTCAGCACTGGACTGCGAACCACAGGGTCAGCGGTTCAAACCCACCAGCCGCTCCTCGGAAATGCTAGCCAGAGTCGCTATGAATGGGACCCGTCTCCACGGCACTTAACAACAACAACCAGTTCGAGGCAGCCCTTGTGTGTCGACAGCACTGGACTGTGAACCGCCAGCGGCCACTCTCCGAGACCCTCTCCAGGGTCGTTGTCGGAAGCGGCGGGCTGCCACTCACAGCGCTGGAACTGACTAGGAGGTGGTCCGTTTGCTACAACTGCTCTGTGGTCCCCGTGTTCGGGTAGCCCGAGGGACCAGACACTTGAGAGAGAAGAGCCACGGTCCTGGAGAGCGTGCCAGCGCCACAGAGCGCGCCACTCACCTACAAGCTCCCCGATCATGAAGAGCAAGTACAGCACGGCGGCCAGGGTCAGCCTGGTTCGGGCCTTTCTCTGCAGCAGTCGGTCTGTCTGCTGGTTGCAGCTGTCGCAGGGCTCCACCTTCAAACTCAGCTGGCTGTTGCTCAAAGCTAGGTCCTGGTCCAACAGGGAATCGTCGTCGGCCTGGAGCGCCGCCTGCGCCCCGTTACCAGGCCTTTCTGGGGCGCCAGACCCATCGTCAGCCACCACCACTCGAAGTCTGTTCAACCGAGAATGACCCTCGACCGCCACCTCATCCGAGAAGTCAAAGGCGCTGGTGTCATTTAAAAACAGCGGCACGTCATCCTTCCTCAGCAGAGATTTAAGGCGCTTCCAAGCGCCGGCTCCGGCCATGGCAGAGGCTGTGCGGTGGCGGCGCGGAACGGGCGGCCCGGTGCAGGAGGAAGGCCGGCGGCTCCTAGTTCACCGGAGTGCCAGTTCCCGACGGCAGTGCCACGCGTCCCTCCCCACTCTGCGGAAAACGAAACACGTTATAAATTACAGGCGCCCAACAGTCCCCTCAAGTTCCAACACCGCAGGCGGCCGGGGCGCAGATCGGCCCAGAGACACCATGTCTGCCCGGCCACAGCCACCGCCAGCGTCTGTAGGCGCGGGCCAGCGCTCCGCGAGGGGGCGGTACATCTACCTGGGGCGCTGCCTCAGGGCCGCGGCTCATCTCCCCCGCCCCAGCCAGTTCGGCCGGCTCGCAGTACTGGGCTCCGGGCATGGGGGAGCAGGGCGGCCCTCGAACCTGCCACGCCCAGCCGGTGGCTCTCCAGGTCTGACAGGTTCGGGGCTGGTGCCTCCGCCACTTCCACTCCCCGCCTTGTGCGGTGCCGCGCGCGTGCGCCGGAGCGGCCGGGGGCGAAGCGCGCGAGGGAGGGGTTGGCGCGAGGACACGCAGGCCCGCAGGGCGGTGGGTGCCCGCGAGGGGCGGTGTAGGGGCGCAGGTCGCCGTCTCCTGCCCTTCGTCCCCATCCAGGCTCCGCATTCCCGCGGGCCACGCTTGGCCCTGGGGACGCCAATGCTGGGGCTCCTTTGCAGCCTCTTACCACGCATAAAGCCAGGCCACAGTCTCTGGCGTGGCCTTCTTACCTCCCAGGATGGGAGGCTTGTGCGTTTCAGCCGCAGTCCTCTGGCTAAATGAGTGGTTTCGAATTGTTCATCCAGGGGTTGGGCAGTACTACTGGGACTTCCAGGCACCAGAGTTACGTCTTGGGAATCTCTGGTCCGGATCTTGCTTGCGGGTCGTCTGCAAAAGATTAATTTAGCATAGTCTTGCCAAGTTGAAAGTCGAACCGCTGTTCTCTCCTAGAACAGCTTCTGTTTTACTCCCTGGCTAGTTGGAAATTCTTGCTGCACAATCAGGCCAATTTAGAGAGCCCACGGCTAATTTTTGGTCAGCAATTCTGTGTCTTGCTTTAGGTTTATTATTGGTGTGCTAACTCTGGTAGCGTAGTGGTTACGAATCGGCCTGCTAACCTCAGGATCAGCAGTTCGAAACTACCAGCTGTTCTGTGGGAGAAAGATGAGGCTTTCTGTTTACAGCCTGGGAAACCTTGTAAAGGGTCGTTATGAGTCAGAACCGACTCCACGGCACATAACAACAACATAGGATAAGTACAGGACTGCAAGGTTGATTTGAACTTTGTGCAAGGTTGGTTTGAACTTTGTGCTAAGTCGGCGGTTCAAACTCACCAGCCACTCCTCAGAAACCCTGTACAGGTTGCTATAAGATGGAATGTAGTCTAGGGTACCTAACAGCAACAACAACAACATTGTTATTCAGCAGATATGCCAGTCCACTGGGAGCCCACCACCACATTCCTTTTACCAGCAAGATATTTACAATATAGGATGAATCTAAGCAGAGAATCTCATTGGGAGTATTTGTTCTGGCCTTTGGTTCTATGGAACAAAAAGAATACGTTATAAAGAATTAATTTGAGTACTAGTTTATGATTCAAATCTAAGTTAGTGGCAAAATGAAATTTTTGGAAAATCTTAACTTAGAGTCCCTGGGCAGGCTTTAGGGAGTTCGAAAGCCTTAAACGTAAGTGCAAAATTATGTGGGTATGTATGCGTACATATTTTTTTTGAGGTAAGTCCCTAAGTTTTCATCATTTTTTAAAATGGGGCTAAGACTCGAATAAGGTTGCAAACAAGCAAAAATACAATCAAAAGAACACATCTTACTGGTCAACTTTCTAACTTCTACATAGAGTCCAAACTCTTGTTTATCCAGTGTTACGAATATTGTATTTTGACAACAGTTTATATGGACTAACAAATTTCAAGTAAAAAAGGTGGGGGGGAGGTGAAAAGTCACATGAAACATTTTCCTCTGAAGATTCAGATGGCACTTTAGAATCTTCTGTGATTCAGGCCACCTGTTTTTGGACAGTCCCTTAGTTTTGAATGCCCACCCTATTTCTACAGAACTGCAGTATGGGAATCATGTTAGGAAACCTGGATCAGAGACCCCATGGTTCCTAAGACTGAGAAGGGAAGACTATTACCAGACTATTCAATTCTAAGGCACTCTGATCATGATCAGCTGAAGGGGAAAATTTTATTGGAAGTGCCTTTCCTAATTACTAGTATCTTAGTCCACCTATCTTGAGAATAAGCTCTTGTCGTAGTTGTTTCTAATTTCACCTAGAATTCTACTAATGAGAACTAGAAGTAAATGATGCAAAGAGTGTGATTGTAACATTTAAGCAAAGGGGACAAGTGTTTTCAAGAAAATTTGAAGCAGGAGTAGTGATTGTTTTGCTATTTGAGCAAGCTTTATTGTAGTTATTACTTTGTATTACTGGGTAGCTGGAGAGAGAAATGAAAGGTCACCTAAAACCCTACATAGTGATTTTAACTATGTCCACAAGTACTGTGATACTCCGGCCTTCAAGAGGTGGATGTAATTCCCCTCAGATAGAGTGTGGCTTGCACTTCATAAAAGAATGTGGTTAGAGTGACACGGTGATTTACAAGACTAGGTTATAAAAAGGCACTGCAGATTTCTCCTTGTTCTCTCTCTTGGATCACTAGCACTGGGGGAACCAGCTACCATTTTGTGAGCACGTTCAAGCAGCCCCTGAAAGGACCCAAGTGACTGGGAACTGAGAACTTCCCCATTGGCCAGTGAGGAACTAAAGCCACCTGCCAATTGCTATGTGAGTGAGTCCTATTGGAAAGGGATCCCCTCAGTGCCATTCTAACATTCACATGACTAGTCCAGGCTGGTGTTGATTGTCAACCTCATGAGAGTCCTTACTTAATGCAAATCACCCAGCTGAGTGACTGCCAGATGATCCACAGAGATTATATGGAATAATAAATAGTTAATATTTTAAGCTGTTTTTTTTTTTTTTGGGAGGGAGGGTGATTTGTCACACAGCAGTAGAGTATTAATACACTTAATTAAATCTGTCTACCAGGAAAGACACTTTTCTTCTTCTTTTATCACATAGTCTTGTTCCTAGACTTGCCACTGACGTAGTGGCATGGTTTTTACCATTGCCTTTTCAGTTAGATTTAGTAAGTAGATGTTTGTGAATTGACTGGGAATATAATCACCATATGTAACTTTAGTTCTGTGTATTCAGAATTTATAACAATAGATAAATAAATATTTGAAACATGACCCATTTATAATCTGAGTACTTCTGCAATTCTGCCAGCTAATACTCAGCCTGCCACTGTCTTATAAGAGGCTTCATACAAAGGCACAAAGTTGCTAACCATTCAGTTCATCTTTCAACAAGACAACCCATAATATGTAGATTGTTTAGTTTACTAGCAGAAGCCTGTCAGTTCAATTGTAAGATTTACAGCTTGGGGCAGATGTCTAGAATAGACACTGGTATCATATTAAAACCTGCTTTCTGCCCCAGGAATTTCTTGGAATAAATGACAGTCCTAAAAACAATACAATTAACATTTACGTAAGATTTAGTAATGTGTCAACCACTCTGCAGGGGATCTGATTTAGATGGGCTTATGTCATTCTTATGATATCACTGTGAAGAAAGTCGTGATTAATAGTCTGGGCTTTGGAGTAAGACAATTTGTGTTTGAATCCTGCTTCACCATTTACTAGTTATGATCTCTGATCTCTCACAAATTATTAACCTTTCTGTGTATGAATTCTCTTACCTATAAAATGGGGATGATAACAGTACCCATTCATTCCATAGGCCTCTGATGAGGATTGAAGGAGATAACACATGTAAAACTTGTTGCTGTTGTTAAATGCCATCAAGTCAGTTCTGACTCGTAATGACCCTGTGTAGGATTTCTGAGGAGCAGCTGGTGTGCTTGAACCACCAACCTTGCAGCTCAAACTGACCTTGTAGTCCAGGGCATTAACACAAGGTGCCACACTAGTACTCGGCATACATTAATTGTGGCACATTGCAAGTGATCAGTCAGTAGCAGCTAATATTATTTTTCAAGTAGATGAAGACGTGTAGGCTCAGAAATTAAAGCAAACTGGGCCGAGTCATACAACTCCCAAGTAGTAGATTAGGAACTCAGTTCCAGCTCTTAGCCAATATGCTACGCTGCCTTCCTCAGTTACTTTCTGCGCACAAATAAAACGATCCGCAGAAAAGCATCTAGGATCCTTGAGGCATGCTAAGAGAGACCCATGTTTCATATAACAGAAATTTGTTAACACCCTGAGATCTCGGCATTATCCCAGAGAATCCCCTTGGAAATGAAGGGACAGCGGAAGAAGAAACTTTAAAAATCAAACAAATGGAAAGAGTTGCCAGTTAGTTGACAGGTTCAAATGTATTTTCCCCATCCTGAGAACTTCTGTGTTCATTGGAGCATGTGGCTGTAGGAGGTTTCCATAGAAAGTTTGTAAAATGGTGCCCTTTTCAGGAGGGGGTGAAAACAAGTATTGGATAAATACTAAGAAGGGTTTAGTGATATGATACTCAGCAATGTGAGTATGTCTTTAAACTCCTATGCGTTCCAATTTAATAGAGAGGTTGCAGTTTTTCAGTTTAACCCTCCTTCAGGGGAAAAGTAGAAGGACCGGAAAATAGATAAAAGAAGGGCTCAAGGATAGAAACAGAGAAGATCCCTGGCCTGGAAGCCTATCTATCCTGCCACGCAAACTGACCTGTGAGCCAAAAGCTACTCTCCATCAACTTTATTGTTTTTATACCTTTGTTTTTCTTTTTCCTTACTTTTAATCATTGCTACTGGATTTATCCAACCATGTCTGGTTGAAATTAGAAACTATGAGGTCCCAGGTAGGCCAGGCGGTGTAGGAAGTAAGCTTACCAGCCCTGGACTCTGAGGCTGGAAGTAGACTGAAGTAGCTTGAAGAGTGGAAGGCCAGCTTTGGAATTGAAGACCCCTTTCAGCCTGAGTGCTTTATCTCAGACAAGACTACTACATGAGAGCTTGACAAACATGGCTCAGCTTTTAATTTTGCCAGCCATTTTCTAGAGCAGACAGCAA